GGGCGTGACCCCCCCAAAGTGGTGAAAAGTGACCCCAAAGTGGTGCAGAGTGACCCCAAAGTGGTGAAAAGTGACCCCAAAGTGGAGCAGAGTGACCCCAGAGTGGTGGGGAGTGACCACTGGACACTGGATCCCTGCTGGACACTGAGGGAGTGACCACTGGGGTGGTGGGAAGGAGGTGGGAGTGACCACGGAGTGACCACTGAAGTGGTGCAAAGTGACCCCCCCAAAAGTGGTGAAAAGTGACCCCAAAGTGGAGCAGAGTGACCCCAGAGTGGTGCAGAGTGACCACGAAAATGGTGTGGAGTGACCACTGGACACTGGATCCCTGCTGGACACTGAGGGAGTGACCGCTGGAGTGGTGGGAAGGAGGTGGGAGTGACCACAGAGTGACCACCAAAGTTTTGTGGAGTGACCCCCCCCAAAGTGGCACAAAGTGACCTCAAAATGGTGAGGAGTGACCCCAAAGTGGCAGGGAGTGACCCCCAAGTGGTGTGGAGTGACCACTGGACATTGATTCCCTGCTGGACACTGAGTGACTGCTGGGGTGGTGGCAAGGAGGACAAAGTGGTCGGGAATGACCCCAAAGTGACCCCAAAGTGGTGTGGAGTGACCACTGGACACCTGGACCCTGCTGGACACTGAGGTGGTGACCACCGGACATTGGATCCCCGCTGGACATTGAAGTGGTGACCACAGGGGTGGTGGCAAGGAGGCCAAAGTGACCAAGGAGTGACCACCAAAGTGGTCAGCAGCGATCTCCAAGTGACTCCCAAGTGGTGTGGAGTGACCACCAGACAACTGGACCCTGCTGGACATTGAGAGTGACCGCCGGGGTGACGGTGGCGACCTCAGAGTGACCCCCAAAGTGACCCCCAAAGTGACCCCTGGACATGTGGACACCGTGATCCCGAGTGGGTGACCCCCGGGGTGATGGCAACGAGCCCAGAGTGACCAGAGTGACCACGGAGTGACCAGAGAGTGACCACGGAGTGACCAGAGTGACCACGGAGTGACCAGAGAGTGACCACGGAGTGACCAGAGAGTGACCAGAGAGTGATCACAGAGTGACCAGAGTGACCACGGAGTGACCAGAGAGTGATCACAGAGTGACCACAGTGACCACGGAGTGACCACAGTGACCAGAGAGTGATCACAGAGTGACCAGAGTGACCACGGAGTGACCAGAGAGTGATCACAGAGTGACCAGAGTGACCACGGAGTGACCAGAGAGTGACCAGAGAGTGATCACAGAGTGACCAGAGTGACCAGAGTGACCACGGAGTGACCAGAGAGTGATCACAGAGTGACCAGAGTGACCACGGAGTGACCAAAGTGACCACGGAGTGACCAGAGAGTGGCCACGGAGTGACCACAGTGACCAGAGAGTGACCAGAGAGTTACCCCAAAGTGACCATGGAGTGACCCCAAAGTGACCGAGTGACCCCTGGACACCCAAATCCTTCCTGGAACAAAGTGGGGAGACCCAAAATGGGGAGGAACGACCCCAAAATGAGGGGAAATGACCCCAAAATGGGGAGGAACGACCCCAAAATGGGGGGAAAGGACCCAAAATGAGGGAACAACCCCAAAATGAGGAGGAACTACCCCAAAATGAGGGGAAATGACCCCAAAATGAGGGGAAATGACCCCAATATTACGGAAAACGACCCAAAATGAGGGGGAATGACCCAAAAATGTCGAGGAACGACCCCTGGGTGACGAATTTTGGGGTTCCTGGGCCACCCCAGTGCCAAATTTTGGGGTCCCCGTTGAAAAATCCAGCTGGAAAAACCAGAAAAAAAACCCCAAACCCGGCAAAATTTGGGGATTTTGGGGCAATTTTGGGCAAAATGAGCCTGAAAAAATTCTTATTTTTTGGGTGGTCTCTCTAAATTTGGTCCCTCCGGGTAAATCTGGGGTCCCAAGTTCTTGGGGGATAATTTGGGGGATTTTTTGGGGGGGTTCCCCCCTGATTTTTGGGGGCTCCCTTCTGATTTTTGGGGCCCCTCCTGATTTTTTTAGGGGTTCCCTCCTAAGTTTTGGGGACTCCCCTGATTTTTTTGGGGATTCCCCCCAGATTTTTTGGGGGGGT